ACAAAATAGGAAGAGCAACTAATTCATTTTTTTTTTTTTTTTTCAGACCCCTGTAAGCACTCCAGATAACGAATATAATTTCAGTTCATTACCATATTTAATGAAAGTTTGTTGATCCATTGTATACGGCTTCCCGTACGGAAGCCAAAACAAAGTATGCTCATACGATAATAATATCTTAATGTTTTTAAAAATAAGAAAATAGTAGTAAGTAATCTGGACTGCTTATGAAGAAAAAAAAAAGACCATCCAGATTGCAAATTTGAAAAGTTTTTTTTTTTATTATATAAGAAAACACGTGGGAAGAGCATATTTTGTTTTGGTTTCCGTAACTGGGATCAAATTGGACCCGTTATAAACTTTTATAAAATTTATTAAGTCTTCTTTGTGTGTGTGTTTTTTTTCTTAGTAATTTAATATGAAGAAAAAATATTTCTGTTCACAGTTCGTATATTACAACTCCACTGTTAATTTTTCTCAAAATACGAAAAATTTCATCTACCGAAGGTCTAATTTCAAAAGCCAAACAAAGTACATAAGAAAAAATATATATATATTTTTAATACTCTCGTTACAAACTAGTGCAACTTTCGCGACTTATCCTACATTGTAAATAACTTTCTTTTACCACATTTTTCTTAAAAGCAGCTGGTGCCCAAGTGTCTAAAAAGACTCGCTTCTCTATCTGCATATTGGACGTTCGAATCCTGGCTGCATTTTCATTACAAAAAAAAATAGCCTGGTCTCCGACTCTTTTTTTTTTTTTTTTTTTTTTTTTTTAATCTTCTCGAACATGAAATTAAATAATAATGTTTCATATTCTTAAAATTCTTTATCGATGGATGAAAATATATTGAATAGATTTTAAAAATTAAATTTTAACATTGAATAAAATTATTCATATCAAGATATTTTATAAACTCGTTTGGGGCATTTCCTGTCAGATCTTTTGCCATGACAATTTAAAATAACTTCAGGCAGTAGTAGCGTTTCTAGCAATCGGAAGGTGCGGGAGTGGACAAAATTAATGGGTGCGTGAGGAGGTAAAATTCGATGACTGTGTGAAGAACTATTTTATACTTCACCTTGGATAGTTATTTTTATTGTAATACTTTATCAAATAAAACAGACTACTACTTCTAAATCAAACACTTTTCCCCAAAGAGTAGAAAGTTGGTGGTAACAAGGTTGCTTACAAATCACCTCCGATGTTTTTGTTCAGTTTTGTTCTAGGAATATTACAGCAGCTCTTTGAAATTCATGAAGACATTTCTAAATAGGAAAGACAAACTTTAAGGGGATTAACTACAACTTTATGGGGTTTTTATTTCTCATCGGAAATCTCATCTTTTCTATTTTGTTTTGTTTGTTATTTTTACAGTATGGCACACCCTGTACAAAGCCCCAGGGCAACTCGAGGTAGAGGGTTACGTTAAGGGGCAGTTTATACGAATTGAAGGGGGAAGATAACTGTTACCTCTAAACTTGAACAGGTTAAGATTATAGTGATCGGAGGAAACGTCCTCTTGAGAGTCGGTTCCATAGAACAGTGGTTTTCAGAAAGAAGCTGTTTGAGTGGAACTTACTTCTCACCAATGGAATACAGAGGGAATGTGGTTGGTTTGTTAGAACTGGTGGAACCAAGGAATGTAGTTCGTCCGAGCACTTTCCATGGAAGTAGCTGTAGAGTTCGCCTCATCCCGCCTGTGAGAGAGGTGGATGGAAAATAATTCGTCACCCACAAACACTTGGAGACGCTTTTGAACTCTATCGAGAGTGAAAAGTGAGGGCTGAGCAGTTCCCACCCAAATATGACAACAGTACACTATTTTCGCCCTGATATGACTCTGGTTTCAAAATGGATTTAATTTTCTATAAAAAGCGAGAATCATTCTTATATAGTTAATTTGAAATACTGTTTTTGAAGCCAAAATTGCTGGTTTTTCAGTGGCTTGCCAATGAAGAAGCATTTAAGGCAAGCAGGCGTTTGTGATGGTGTGCTGAATATCGAAGTCAGGGATAAAACGTTAATAAATTAATATGGAATTTTTTTTTTCACTTAACTCCTGTTTACTTCTGAGTTTCGTGGCGGTATGTGTCTAATCACTCATCGGTACAAATTTAATTTGTCTCTGTTTTTCGGTTCTCTTGTGCTTTTATTGGTATGAATGTGTGATCTATTTCCCTTTCTCTTTAGTGGGTGTCGCTTGTTGATTTCTCTTTCCTTCTTCTTTTTTTTCTCTCTCTCTCTTTAGTTTCTTTCCTCACTTCGACGGTCTCTGGTTTATTGTTGACCATTTAATTAGGGTTATGGTTGGAATTTTGTGTGTGCCCATGCTCGCACCCATGGATGCATCCATGCATGCAAGCACGCACTTACCCAACCGCACGTGTATGTTTGCGTATTCTAGTATATGCGCCTATGTTCGTATTATGATTACTAAATTGTATTGTGTGTTTAATTTTGTGTTGGTGTTAAATGTATCTATATTTTTTAATTGGGCTGTATTATTTCACTTTACTTAATGTTTTAATATTTTTTAGGTTATACCTTACTTAGTGTATTATATATATATATATATATATATATATATATATATATATATATATATATATATATATATAAAGAATGTAGTTGTAGTAATTTATTTGTGTGACTGTGTATTTTGTTGGTTATTGTTTTGTTAATGTTGTGGGCATTTTGAAGAACGTACTTTTTTCTTTTTCTTTTTTACGGGGGTGGTGATTTGTGTGGTTGGGTGTTATTTTGATGATTATTATTTGTTGATATTGTGGTTACGCTTTCTTGGATGGATTGAGTTTGGGATTGGTATGTATTCGCTATGGTGCTTTGTGTTGTATTTCTTTTTATATTATTATTTACGTGGCAAAATAGGTGCTCATTTAAACGTCTGCATTTCCCCATTGTTTCATTCTTTTTGTTCGGTAAGCTGTTTTGATCCTTGAAGGTAATGATTGTTAATTTTTCCTTCAAGCACAATTTACAGTTTCTCCTGTTGCTACTGTGTGTGGCTGCTTTTTTATAATTTCCCATTTAATCTTGGTAATGATATTTTGGTTCTTGCTCCATATGTATTTTGATAGCGTTCTTGTTCCATATGTATTTTGATAGCGTTCTTGTTTTTGTATTTTTCTGTTTTATGATTACTAAATCTTTCTTTAAATTTTTTTTTTTTCTGTAGCTACTATTTAGGCTTTTTCTTCCGCGTTTGTGTTGCTTGTTACGGTGGCTTTGTATATTATGTTGTTGGTTAAGTATTTAAGTGGGTAATTGTTTTTATTTTGATAATTGCATTTGCTGTGTTTATTATTGTCATTATTGAGTATTTTTTATTATGTCTTATTATTTTTTCCATTTTATCCATGCAGATGTAACTAATTTTTACTGTATTTCTGTTGATGATTTTTGATAGTTGTGTTTGGGGAAATGCTTTTCAATTATTTTTGAAGAATATTTTCCATATATTTTTTTAGGGTATTATTATAGGGTGTGTAGTTTGCTTGATTTTTTTTCTTTAGTATATTCTAGTTTGTTCGGATATCCGCTTTTTCTTAATGGTATTTCGTATGTTTTTGTTTTTGTTGTATATTTTTTCGGATTCTGGAATTTGTTGGTATTCTTTTGTTTATGGATATGTGTTTAAATATATTAGGAGGGTGGTTGCAGTTTTTGTTAATGTCTATAGTTGTTGCTTGTTTTTTTCTATTTGGTTTGTATGTTGTTGTTTATATTGAATGTTATATGTAAGAAGTTTACTATTTTTAAGTTAGATTTTATGTCTATTTCAAATCCTAATATATTGGATTTTTTGGTAGTTCTGCCGTTGCAAATTTTTTTACGATTATTAAGCCTAAACAGGGACGACGGCTTTATATCTTTTTGCTTAAAGATATGTGTTAATTTATTGATGATGTATATGCTTTATGAGTTCGCATATTTCTGCGCTGTCATAACTTTTATTGTTACGTCGAAGTTCTATATTTTGTTGTCCTAGTATATTGACTTTCTGCAGTATGTGATAATATTTAGGTCTTCGTTTGAAATGTTTATATATTGCTTCGCCAGGTCGAGTGCATTGTTTGCTGTATTTTCATTGATGGATGGGTAAAAAATCTTTTATGTCTAGTTGCATAAAGAACAGTTTTTTGTTGATGTTGTTAAACCAATTGTTTCTTTTTGTATTTTTCAGTTGGTTTATTTTTATTATGCTCCTTGGCTTTCTGCATATTTTTTCTACAATTTGTCTACTTATTTTGGTTTTTGTTAGAATTATTAATGTTCATGTTGGCTTATTTTGGAAAGAAAGAAGAGGAAGAGAAATCAACAATCAAACAAAACCCATCAAAAAGAAAAGGAAATGGATAACACACTCATACCAATAAAAGCACAAAAGTACCGAGAAACAGCAAAAGATTAACTCAGTTCCGATGTGTGGTTAGCCACGAAACTCCGAACTTGAGTTAAATGAAAAAAAATTCATATAATTATTATTATTTCATAATTATTTGTTTTAATGTTTGCTTAACTGAATCTTTTAACAACCGCCTTTGCAACAACCAACAATGCCAGTGTTGAGTATCTTGTAACTTAGGGAGCTTTGAATAAACTGAGGGGGACGTGATTCGAAAGATAACGACTGCTCTAAACAATAAAATATTTGGGCCACTGTTCATAATTTATCATGTTGAGGTAATTGCATTTTTTTCTTGACATTTCTATGTGGTTGAAATAGCCCAAATCTTCAACATAAAAAAAGGCAATTACCAATCAAAATATTTTTCGATAAGTGTACAGTCCGAAATTTCAGCTCGGAAAATACTTTTTGTTCAGCTACATAAAAAGCGATTATCAAATACGCTACCATTCCAAAGGTCAAAGTTGTTCTAGGAGTGTCAAAAAGGCAATTTCCTTTCTGGCCGTAATTTGATGAAAAAATAAAATCCTGTTTAGCAAATGACAATCACATAAACGTATGACAATGATTTATTTATCTACAATTGTTTTTTTCTTTATTCGCAATTTTTATAAATATCTTAGAAATACTCTGAAATAATAATTTCGTTCTCCCTCCCGTCTCTTTTCTCTCTCTCTCCCGTCTCTTTTCTCTCTCTCTCCCGTCTCTTTTCTCTCTCTCTCCCGTCTCTTTTCTCTCTCTCTCTCCCGTCTCTTTTCTCTCTCTCTCTCTCTTTTCTCTCTCTCTTCTCTCTCTCTCTCTCCCGTCTCTTTCTCTCTCTCTCTCCTCTTTTCTCTTTCTCTCTCTCTCTCTCTCTCTCTCGTCTCTTTTCTCTCTCTCTCTCGTCTCTTTTCTCTCTCTCTCTCGTCTCTCTCTCTCTCTCTCTCGTCTCTTTTCTCTCTCTCTCGTCTCTTTTCTCTCTCTCTCTCTCGTCTCTTTTCTCTCTCTCTCTCTCGTCTCTTTTCTCTCTCTCTCTCTCTCTCTTTTCTCTTTCTCTCTCTCTCTCTCTCTCTCTCTCTTTTCTCTTTCTCTCTCTCTCTCTCTCTCTTTTCTCTCTCTCTCTCGTCTCTTTTCTCTCTCTCTCTCTCTCTCATCTCTTTCTTTCTCTCTCTCTCTCTCTCGTCTCTTTTCTCTCTCTCTCTCTCTCGTCTCTTTTCTCTCTCTCTCTCTCTCTCTCTCTCTCTCTCTCTCTTTTTTCTCTCTCTCGTCTCTCTCTCTCTCTCTCTCTCTTTCTCTCTCTTCTCTCTCTCTCTCTCTCGTCTCTCTCTTTTCTCTCTCTCTCTCTCTCTCTCTCTTTTCTCTCTCTCTCGTCTTTTTCTCTCTCTCTCGTCTCTTTTCTCTCTCTCTCTCGTCTTTTCTCTCTCTCTCTCGTCTCTTTCTCTTTTCTCTCTCTCTCGTCTCTTCTCTCTCTCTCTCTCTCTCTCTCGTCTCTCTCGTCTCTTTTCTCTCTCTCTCTCTTTTCTCTCTCTCGTCTCTTTCTCTCTCTCTCTTTTTTCTCTCTCTCTCTCTCTTTTCTCTCTCTCTCGTCTTTTCTCTCTCTCTCTCTCTCTCTCTCTTTTCTCTTCTCTCTCTCTCTCTCTCTCTTTCTCTCTCTCTCTCTCTCTCTCTTCTCTCTCTCTCGTCTCTTTTCTCTCTCTCTCGTTCAAATTTTTATTTTGATTCCACATGAAAGATTGTTTATTCATCCAAATCTTTGGCTTTTTGCGATATTCGTTTTTGTTTCTTTCCATGAATTTTTAAATTAACTAAATATTTTGTTAAGCGATTTTCGTCAGTTAAACACAGCTATATGGTGTACCCAATCTGTTTTATAATAATACTAATAGTCACCAAAATTCCAAACGTTTGAGTTTTTTCTTTGATAAACATCTTCAATGTATTAAAAAACAGGATTCTTTTTATTTATTTTTTCTCTCTTCACTTGGAGCACAATTGTTGGATGAAATTATTTCTGTTTCCTGTCAATAAAAAAAAAAACATTTTAACCAAGTTAGTCTCTTGAATTGAAGATCTTCTTTTTTTTTTTTTTCTTTCGTTCCCTTCTCCGACTCTCTAAATCCATTTTCTACTAATATCGAATTCTTCTTAAAACTGGAAAATTATGTCATTCATTTTATTCTTCTGAAATATTTTCTATGCAGAAATATCATCAGAAATGGATTCCCTTAATCTCCTGAAAATTAAAAAAAATAAATAAGCGGTAATAATTTTTCGAAGTTGTCAAGCAAAATTTGACAAAAATAAAAAAAATTAAAAGAAAAAAATTACTAATTTATTTTCAATAAGTAAGCAATTACGTTTGCAAGTTAGTGTGTTTGGCAGTAAGTTGGTGTGTTTGTCAGTAAGTTTGTCAGCCAGTTTGATTATTTAAGCGTATCTTAGATGTGGCACAAGGTTGAAATTATGGGGCACCTAGTGAGGATCGAACTCACTTTTTAGTCGTAACTGATCTAGGTAGACAAGCTTCCTAACCATTACACCACGCCGAAATGTCCTAAGTTAGTATCTTTTTGTTTTAGGTACAGAAAGTTTAATAGGTCTAGTGTGTCGCAATTATTTTCGCAGAAGGACCATTAGCAAAATCAGGAATCCTTATCACACCCCACCTACACCAGTTATGGGTTAATGGCTTTCTAGTCTTACATGCAACCAATCTGAGAGAAGGAATGCTCTGAATTCCAAACCGGAGAGAAGACAAAGAGAACCATTCCACCATCTTTACAAAGAATTGATTGGTAATTTGCAAATGAAAAGGAAGAGAATCACGCTCGCCTACGTCGTGAAGAGACTTTTCTTTTTTTAAAACAAAAAAAAACTTAATTTTAACAATGTTTTCCACTGATTTTAATTCTTTCAGTGAAAGAGAAAATAGAAACTTTTTTGTCCTTTTCTATGGTTGACTATGTGTAAGTAACAGTGGTTGTGAGAAAACCAACAAACGTTGGTTATATCTGAACACTGCCAAGGCTATAAATGGCCATGATGGCCCGAGGGGGGGGGTGACAGACAGCTATATTAGTAAAGGTTTTCTTATCAATATCTTAGCTTTCTTTACTCATTTTTCCTATTTCTGCCGGAAGAAACTGGATGGAGCGAAGGTTTTTCTGTAAGCAGAATATATATATTTTGATTTAAAATCTCGATTTATATAATGTGAGTTAAACGCCAAGAAGTGATGTATTATCAGGAAATCCACGAGTTACTGACAGAATAAAACATTTTGTGTATGTCGAAGTTTAGTTGTTGAATGCTATAAAATATTCGAATGAATATTTTTAAACCCTACACGTACTATTTGAATCAATTCCAAATTAAGAATAAGCATCTCTTTTAACTGTGTATCTCCTTCAGTAACTAATTATCACTCAACCTGCTGCCTTGAAATGGTTTAGAGCAGTTCGCCACCGACCTTAATACCCATTTAAATTTATTAATAAAAATGCTATTTTAATATAACCAATTATTTTCTTGGTTTAGTTCCTTTGTCAATCCAGACAAAATCTAGGAATCACCTGAATCTACAGTCAGATCTGCAGATCGTAATGTCATCATAAAGGTTCCACGTTTTGACAAAATCTTGACTGAGAAGCAGAAGTAAGAATAAGAGTCATTGTATTTTGTTTGCTTTTGGGATTATTTTTTAATTAAAATCCACTTGCTCAATCTGTCGTTGCATTTATGCAGAGTTCCAAGCTTATTTATTTACCCGCAGTAATGTGGTTAAAAATTAAAAAAAAAAATTAGGCCTTTTATCTTTTAAATGTGATGTTACTTTATTAGGCAGTGGGAACATTGCCAAACATTTGTAAGGAGTGTGGGACATAAAAATGGTTAAGACCACGTGGTATAATGTGTGTTTAATGACTTTTTTCATTTTGTAAACTTTCAAATTAAATTCTGAAACTTTATACAATATTGGACAAATAGTAAATTGTGATGTTACCATCTTTTTTTTTTTCTTTTTCTTTTTTTTCCATTGCATTTCAGTTTAATGTTACGAGTGTAAATTGTTTTAAAAACAAACTGAGGCCTATTTTTTTTTTTTTTTTTTTTTTACTGCATCGAAAAGTCAAACATGACTTGTTTTGTTTTTATTTTTATTTTGTTTTCACTTAACAGCTTGAACTTCAAATTGTCAATTATTGTTTTACTGAATCCTTTTCATCATCCTTAACCTTGCATCTGTTTGCTTCCTCATTTTGCGAGTTACTATGACCTGGATATTCTTGTGTGGTGTTAATTAGACCAAATATCTTTGCAGACGCTCGAAGACAATCAGTTTTCCATATTGTTTCTTTTTTATCCCTCTCCGATTCACTGTAAAAAAAAAATTATGACTGAATTTCTGTGAAGAGTTATTATTTACACACGAACTGTTTTCCTCATTTTTGTTGTTATCCTAACGTTTCGACCGTTGTGTTCTCTGGCCTTCATCAGGTGATCACGCCTCTAGTTCTTATTTTTAGTACTGCTCGGTTATTGTTTACATTTCCACTGAGTTCAAATACACACTGCCCGGCTCACAGGACAAGAGCTTAGTGGATTTGTTGACAGGGGAATTGTTAGTGCAATCCCTGGGTCGGGCAGTGTGTACTTTTGGATCTGTGGAAATGAGCTAGCTTCAACTGGATAGTGAAACTGGAACAATTTACCTTGTTGATTAAATAAAGGGTCCAGTTCGAAATTTCCTGTAGGTTACCCGAATCAATATACAAATGATAGCAGCCGAAACGTTGTGATAAAGGCGACGACAGTAGTTCGCATGTAGATAATGCAAATAACAAAAAGTGATTTATAAATGGTAACTATTTAATCAATAAACCAGAAAATCGAAATTTAACGATGATTTTTGCATCAAGGTTAACAATTTTTTTAATTCTCTTCATCGTTGATGTGCTGTCATATTTATTTTTTTTAATTATATTTATTTATTTAAGAATATGTTTTAATTACTTTTGCTAATCATACTGAAGTAATTGTGTAAAAAAAAAAAAAAAAAAGTAAAGATTCGTTCGTCCAATTTTTGCGAACGACAGAGAAAGAAATTTGAGTGTTCGATCAACCGTGTTTAGTTTTGAAGACGTCTATAAATGCATATGCATAGTTAAAAATAAAACCCGACTTGTGGGGGGGGTATCTTTACACCACAAGCAAGCCAATACTGTCATTATGGTGCAAGGATTACTGAAAGTGAAAGAGAATAACTTTAATGAGGAAAAAGACAATAAATTTTGTAGGTTGTAAAAAAGCAAAATATCTAATGTTCCACAAGCAGAAGTGCAAGAAAAGAAAATATTACAAAAGATACTGTTGCATCTAGGTGGTTCAACAGTAAAAATGGTGAGACCTAATAGCCAATCTAGTATAACGCTTTAATTCATGCAGTCGAGGCACTATGGAGGAAAACTGTCTTGCTATGAAAATATTTGTAGAAATGACAGGGAAGCCACCTCACGACAGTGAGAAAGTGATGGAAACCGAGATGCCAGGTCAAGATCGATTACATAACAGACCCTTTTTTTTTCTTTTTGTTTGTCGAGAATCTGGAGATATATAGTAATAGCACCAAACCAGATCTGGTTCTAATCTTTGAACTTCTACTGAGTCTCCAGTTCAATCCACATTTCGTGGAACTCGTATATTAATTGCTGAAAAAGCGAGGAAAATTGATAGTTTGTTCTCTATCGCTATGGGAAATATCCGATTTCATCTGTCATAGTCCAAAAATGGAATATTGTTGTCAAATCTGGGTTGGTGCTACCCAATCTTCATCTTCGAGTCTTGATAGATTTTAAAATTCGCTTCCGCCGTCTTGTCGGGAAAATTATTTTCCTCTCTGCAGCCACTTTTCCCCACTGACATCGCAAGCCCATTTCCACAGCAAATTCTAAGCTGAGTTCCATTCCTTAGTTCCATCAGTTCAGTTTGCAACTAAAAACGATATGCCACATCCAGTGAGTCGAATCATCCTTATTTCCCCCGTCTTCCAAATGTATGAAAAAGATCTACTCGGCTTTCGCGCAAGAACAGTAACTTTGGAGAGCACTCCCGCGTGAGTGCTTCCCTGGGCATCACGACCTTACCCTATTAAAGCCAAGAGGGAATCGTTATTGATTAATCCTCCAAATCCCCAATTTCTACCATCTCCTATTTCATTCATATTACATACCTCACTCATCATGACCAGTTTAACAGTAACCCTCTTCTTAGAGTGGCTCTGGAACATTATATTAGTTGAATTTTACTATAAAAATATTACAAACTATTTTCCTCGTAGGATTTGCCCCTTTTTTATCTTTTAATTAATATTCTCTTTCTTATATTTCAGGTGAGTATGACACGAACTGATATCCGGGTAAGACCGTTCAGTTTTATTTATTTATTTACTTACTTACTAAAGTTACCATTGTACAACACAATGGTAGATGTGAGTGAGGAAGGATTGTTGTGTTATGTCTGTCTTTTAATTAGGAAGAACTCCGCCCCCTCCTTGAATGTCTGCCTTTTTCTCCGGGCTCGAACACTGACCATTAATGGCAACGTAAAATAAGCAACTAATTCAAATAAGCGTTCCTTTTGAATCGATCTCTCTGTTTACATTAAGCGGAAGTAATATGGCGAGTTTGTTGGTTTTTAACAAATCTCACCAATCCAGAACAACTTTCGGAGTCTAAAATACTGTTCATGTATTTTGCTTCAATTAAACTAACTTGCTGAATTCCCGTCCGACGAACAGAGAAAACTTATCGGTCCCTTGACTGCTTCAATCGTCAGTGGGGACTCAAGAACAGCAGAAACGGGCAATCGCCTCCAGGCTGATCTGTTGGTGGTTGACTGTCAGGAGTTCCGGCATTGTCATGTCCGTTCACTCTTTCATGTTGTCCGCCTTCAACAATATTGCAGAGGCTGTTATGCAAGACCATTAAACTTGTCATACCTCTGTAAAACCTCTGCATAAACAACATTTTCAGCATTTTCTGACATCCTATTTGTCATTATTCTAAGTCTATTTGAATTTCCTACTCTGGACATAATCACAAAGACCTGGCAACAAGAAAACAATTTGAATAATTTTCTCATGTTTTTTATTATAATATTATAAATAAATAAATCTGGAAACTTGCTATTTTTACGCTTGTTTAAATAACTCGGTACAATTTAAAGAAAATAATTGAACAGACTGTTTTGACTTTATTCGCGAAATCCATTTTTCTGCTGTATTCGACAAGTTTGTAGTAATGTGACATAGCAGACGACAACATTATTTATTATAAATACTGTAGGTTTTCTAACTTAAGACAAAATTTTGACAAGACAGATATAAATTATTTCTATGCAAACACTACGAATTAAAAAATAAAACTTCCTCGAGAAAAGGATTAATTATATATGACAATTTTTACAGTTTGTATAAAAAGTAGTAGAATAAATGATTATTAAAGTATGCTTTCAAATTATATATATATATATATATATATAATAGAATGGACGTCTTCATATTTTTTACGTTGAGGAGACCCTTTCGGCCAATACTTTCTCAAAAGGTGAACGTTGGCGAGCAGCAATCAAAGACACATTAGTAAATAGCGAATGAGGGAAAATTGGAACGCACACACACACACACACATATATATATATATATATATATATATATATATATATATATATATATGCAAAATGTATATATATATATATATATATATATATGTGTGTGTGTGTTAGTATTAGGCTATTTTGTTGGGGTGGGGATCACAGAAAAAAATCAGCTTTACAAGAATTTAGAAGAGATTATCAGGTACAGACTCGTTACATACGAGGTACTACCTCCCCTCCAACAGTTCGAGGAATCAAGTGTAGTACCGACATTTGCTGCTACCCTTTGACTTTTCTGAAGAATACGATGGAAAGTTTTAGGGTATTTCTATGGCTACATTCTCCGAACATCATGATAACACTTTTTAAATATGAGTCACGTCAACATTATCTAGCTCTGTTTCCAAAGAGAGAAGAAACATAGTATTCTCTCAATGTTCTTAGTCAGGTGGGCTTGTCTACCTTGAAAATAGACAATTCAGAATTCTAGGATCCAAATTCCGGCTGGTAGAA